CAACCAACTGAGCCACCCAGGCGCCCCAGGAGGAAGAATTTCTACCAGCCCAACGTGCTTGGAATGGGTGGCGCTAAGAATTGGACAAGCAGAGGCCAGATGGGCACTTGGCAGGAGCACTGGCCTGGGGTGAGGGTTTGGACAATATTCTTACTCCGGGGCCCTTCAGACCCCGGGAGAGGAGTCTGGAACCTCTGTGGGGCTCCAGGTTCCCTGGGCTCCGAAAGCCAGATGAGTCACTGAGATTGCCCGGTAGGGTGTTGGGTGCCAGTCAGTAGTAAGCAGCCTTCCAACTGGCTCAGTCCTTTAACAAAGCCGGCCAGGAGCAAGCCTGGCATGTTTAGTCATGTCATCTGCATTTGGTTGCCTGGCAGGAAAGGCAAATGGAAGGAAAGAAACAGGCATTTTTAGAGCATCTACCAAGTGCTGGGCTCCATGCAGGATGCTTTGATACCACGGCTCATCCAGATCTCCCGACAGGACTGCAAGGGAGAGGATATCTTCCTTCTACGGCTAAGACTGAGGCTCAGAGAGGCTAAGTAACTTGCCTGAGGGCACACAGTAAATTACAGCACTGGGGTTCAAGCCAAATCTTCCTGATTTCCAGTGACAATGAAGGTCAATGTTCACTGAACACCTATTTGATGCATAGACACAGTTACTAGTCCTTTGCATGGATTAAGGCATTTGTTATACCTCCATTTTACAGAGAAGGGGAACTGAGGCCGGGAAAGGTAGGATAACTTGCCAAGGTCAGGGGCAGTGTTCAGATCTGACGTCACAACCACTGTGCCTACCCTGTGTCTTAGGCAGAGTTTGCTGCCAAGATACACCTCCTGCCTCCCTCATGGAGATGGGCAGAGCCCTTGGGTCACATAGGGTAAGACTGGAATGGGGTGGAGTTGAGCACAGGGAGGCGGACTTCAGCTCAAAATCAAGATGCCCTTTCTTTTTTTTTTTTTTAAGATTAATCTATTTATTTGACAGAGAGAGACACAGCGAAGAGGGAACACAAGCGGGGGGAGTGGGAGAGGGAGAAGCAGGCTTCCTGCGGAGCAGGGAGCCCGATGAGGGGCTCGAATGTGGGGTGCATTCAGAGGTGCTCCCAGGTGGGGTTTGTAGATGGGCCATTTCCTGCCCAAGAGTGGAGATGAGGTGAGCTGTGCAACCTCCCAAGATTTCCCCTCATGGCATTTCCAGAGCGTCCTGAGCACCTACTAGGTGTCAAACCTCTTTGCTGCTGGACGCAGAACACAGCTGATCCCTTCACCCAGTGTAGGAGTTGAGTGCCCCGTGGCTGCTCCAGAACTGAGGACACCGGGGATCAGGTGTCATGAGGCAGGCAGGGAAGGGGGCCAGAGAATGGTGGGCAGGGGAAGTGGCCATTAAGACATGAGCCACTGAACCACGGAGGAGGCTGGCAGGGGCCAGTGAGAGGCTGGTGGAGGCCATTCCCAGGGCTGAGCTAGAACCGTGGTCAGCGCAGGCGAGCTCAGGACCATGGAGAGCTCCACAGGAGACTCCCGTCACTCAGATGACAGCTGTCAGGGTATGTCTGCATCCATGAGGCTACTGTCAGCCTGGCCAGGCCCACAGTCATAGCCTGTGGTCTCCAGGGAGCACCTGCCCTCTCTGCCCAAGAGCCACCCCCCAGACAGCCTGAGCCCTGACCCTGAGATTATGGATGGGTTGTGGGGTTTGGGCTCATCTGCTTTCTTCCCTTACCCAGTCAACCTTCTAAGCAGAGGCCAGAGAAAGAGGGCACAAGGAGGAGAAGGAAAGAGTAGGAAGAGGAGGGAAGGAAGGAAACCTGCCCAAGGGCACCTTCTGGGGCATGGCCACAGCCGCAAGTCAGCACAAGAAGAGGAGGCCCAGGGTGGGCTGATCCTGCCACCATCCTGGGTCAGGGTCAGCCTTAGCCTCCCCCATCCCTGATTATCTGCTACCAGGAAGCACCCAGCACCCCACCCCCACCTTCACTCAGGAGACCCAGGCCCCTGGGTGTGTGTATGTTGGGTGGGGGTGCTGGGGAGGCTCTTAGAGAGCCTGAAATTCCTCCTTTCCCCGGCTCCCCAGGAAGCAGGGCGCCCTTCCCCAGCCCTTCCACCATCCGGCTCAGTTTCTGCCTAGGCTTCACTTGCTGAGCCCCTGCTCTGCTCCTTGCTCCTCTGAGACGGGACAGCACCCACCAAGGCCCAGGCTTTGCCAGGGGCTCACCTCCAAGCTTTTACTCTTGCCGTGCCCCCAAAGGTTCTCTCTGCCAGGCTGGGATATAGCAACAGGAGTAAGAAGAGTTATAGTGTATTTTGTACTCACTATGCGCCAGGCACTTTATATGGATTATTGAACCCTCATTTTATAGATGGAAAAAAAGGAGGAAAGTTGTGAACTTGCCCAAGGCTACACAGGAGATGGCAGAGCCAGGATTTGGAGTCTTGTTCCAGAGTCTGTGTGTATGGAAGTGATGGTGAGCACATTGAGGAGGCCCAGGGCAATGCAGGGTGCTTTTGTTGAGCACCTTCTGTGTACAGCTCCCTGCCCCAGGTTGCTGGTAGCCCAGTTGGGGAGACAGAGGTCAGGGAAGGTGAGCTCAGCATGGTGAGCATTGGCAACAGGGCAGGGCTATGGACTGGTCTCTCTGATTTGGTGTCTCATATAAAATAGGCAGGACAGGAATGATTATATCCATTTTATAGATGGGGGAGTTGAAGCTCAGAGAGGCCAAGCATTCTTGAGACTCAGATTGACAGTGGCTATATAAACCCAGAGGCTGATGCAGGGAGTCAGGAGGAGGGTTGGCAGAACTCAGTATGGTTCTTCCAGGTCCTAAACCGGGGCAGAAGCCACTTGGTTTCAAGAGAGGCCGGCCCTGACACAAAGCAAGCACTGGAGAAATATCCAGTGAATTTTACTGAAATGAGTAAGGGCCTATGTATGGCCTCTGAGCTGCCTAAGGTCATACTCAGCAGCAGGAGGGACCCAGACGGGGGTTTTGTCCTTAGGGAACTGCCTGCCTAGTAGGCCTTGGAGGGCAATGGGCCAGCCCATTAGAGACCCCAAGTCCTTCCTCAGCTAACTTTCTTCTCCAGGCAGGTCCTGGCCACTGCACCCCACCTGGGGTCCTGAGTTCCCAGAGGGGCTCAAGCTAATGCATGCCAGCCAGCAGGAGTAGGGAGTGGAGAATGGTGAGCTGGACAATGCTCCCCAACCCAGCTCCTCCTCCCAGAGCCCACAGGGGGACGTCAGATCCAAAGCATTGCTCACCCCACCCCCATCTACCCTGTGAAGCTTCTAGACCAAGCATACTGTGGAAAGGACATGAGATTTGGATCCAGAGACCAAAGTCAACAGCCAGGCTCTGCCATTAGCCGGCGAAGCGACTGGCCACGCCCCTCACTCAGCCTCAGTGTTTGCATCTGCTGGGAGGGATGCTGCTTGAGGGTGAGAGCGAGGGCCTGCAGAGACGGCCTGACTCAAAGCCCAGCTCTGCTGTTCACCCATCTCCGTGAAGGCTGTTGAGGGGTGGCCCCCACCCCAGTCAAAGGCTTCTCCGTCCTTCTCGGTCCAGACTCCTTGCTCACACTTCACATCCAGGTCTTCAGCAAATGCAACAGAACCTAAGCGCTTTCTGCATGGCTCTCACCGTGGTTCAAGCCGCCCCCGTCACACCTGGATGGTGCTGAGGTCTCCTCGCCGCACTCCCTGCTCCACCCTGCAGCCAACCGTGTCCTCTCAACAGAGCAGCCCGAGTGAGTCTGTGCAGACCAAAGTCAGGTCATGTTCCTCCTCTGCCCAGAATCCTCCTGTGAAAGCCACATTTCCTGCTGTGACCCCAGGCGCCGTGTGATCTGGGCCCATCCTGTCCGCCTCCCTCCTGAGCACCGGCTGTTCCTTTTTCCCAGAACCTTCTTCCTCTGCCCCCTCGTCTTTGTCAAGTCTCCATCTTCTCAGTTAGGCCTGCACTGAGCACCCTGTTTGTCACCGAGCCCACTCTACCTCCTTGCCTTTACCCAGCTTTTTCTCTGGAGCATGACTCTTTCTAATGCGCAGTATTACTTGACTCATTTATTTCTAATTTACTGCAGTCCCTTGTCCTGTTCACCCCTGGGTATGCTGCATGGAGGTGGGGTCCTCGTTTTCCTTGTCTCCTGGGCTCCCAGGGCCTAGCACAGTGCCTGGCACACAGCGAGCTCTTGATAAGTAGTTGCCTCGTGGGTGGGTGATATGGGTCAGGTGGGCACCCTGTGGGGTATTGTGTGGGTCAAATGTGATGGTGGCTCTTCCATCCCCTGGCTTGTCTTCACTGGTCCCCAGTAAACTCTTCATGGGTGTCACCCTACTTGGGTTGAATGTGGCAGATGGAAAGACAGATTTACCACTGGACCCCACAGAGTCTGACCCTTACTAATTGTGTGACACTGGGTAAGTTATGTCATTTTCTGGCCTCGGTGTCCTCATCTGTAAGATGGGGATGACAACGGGGCCTGCTTCGTGTTGAGAAGATTCAATGAGGTCTAGTGTGGAATGTGCTTGGGACAGTCACTGGTTTGTGAGCGTCAAAGACCGTCAGCTTTGCTGTGATACCTGATGGGTTCTCAACGAAGCTTTATAACGGAGGTAGAAATTCTGCCAGCTGGGGCCTAATTTGGTTCCGCGGATTTAGCCCACAGCTGGGCCACCTGGAGGGCTCATCTCAGCTGTAAGGAGGGAGGGAGGTGCTGACACGGGAACAGAACTGTCCTAATGGCCTTTGGGAAAAGCCTTGTCAGCTTTCTGAATCTCCGTTTCCCCATCTGTAAAATGGGTGGTTACAGTAACCTCCCAGGGTGCATGAGATTTGCATGAGACCTCAGGAGCCCATGCCTTATTTATTCAGTTTCCTATTTAGATGCCACTCAGTGGGGAAAAAAATATTTCAAGCATTTATTAAAGAAATACATGAAGATAAGATAAAAAGGGATCGGGGAGTAAGAGTGAAGGAGGAGTAAGAGTGAAGCTGAAAGTGAAGGTGTCCCAGAAAATCTGGTCTGTGAGGCACTGACTTGCTCCAGGCCGACCACCGTGTGCTTCGGCATTTTCTAAGCAGCCCAAGTAATGAAATTAGCCACACACACTTCTTTGATTCTCTGCAGCAAGCCAGGCTGGAGCCTCATCAAGGGGCCTCACTCTGAAAGCCCCAGTGAAAGGGGGATCCCAAGCACTGGTGAGTCTGTCCTCCGAAGGGCACATCTGGCCAGGTGTGACCAGGTCCTGAAAGCCAGCCTGGCCGGGGAGCCGAGGGGCAGCTGGGCCAGGGTGACCCTGGCGAGGCTGTAGGGGCCCTTCGCGCCCAGCAGGGCCACTGCTGCTGGGGGAATGAGCGGGAGCGGCAGCCTGGCCCCGCCCTCCACAGCTCATGGGCTAGTTCAGTCCAACAAGGGCCAGGATTGGGGTGTGCTCCATAGAGGCTGGTTCCAAGTGGGAAAGAAGAGCCTGCCAGAAGGATCAGGGCTGCCTTACTAGGTCCTCAGGGCCCTCTGGCGGGTCAGTCTGGAGGCTTCTGCTGTGCTGACCTCCCATCTGCAGTGTTGCCTGATGCCTGGCCTCTGCCACAGCAGGAACTCCTATCTACCCGTCTTTATCGGGCCTCACCCCTCTGCCCCGCCACTCACCCTGCTGGCCTGGTCTGCCTGGTCTCACTTTGCCAGAGTAGGGCTGGGATCCCTTAGAGAGAGAGGAGCCCAGAAGACCTACTTCCAAATGTTGCCAAGGAGCAGCCCCTCCCTCCCACCTTCCCAAAAGCCAGTGGAGACCAGCAGCAAACCGCCCCCGCCCTGGGACAGCTGACATTTAGCAGAGGCCAGGTCCTCCGCCCCAACTGTCCTACCCGACTGCCGGCAGTCAGCTGTGCCAGCCACCCTTGGGCAGGCTCCAGGAGGGCTGGGCATTCAAACTGGAGGAGGTGGGTCCCCTTGGACCTGATAGTGCAAGTACCCCGGCCAGGGGACTTGGCAGCCACTCCACTGTTCCTCACCACCCTGCTCAGGACGCCTCACCAACGTGAGGCTGGGAAGGGGGTGGAACAGGAGGCAAGCCACCCAGGTTCCTGCCCCAGCTTTGTAACATCAGGCGGGTCCCTGAAGCCCCCTGGGTCCTGGTTTCCTCCTCTGTAAAATTAGAAGGTTGGAGGAGGTGGTTCTTAAAATTTGTTCTAGATCAAACATTTCATGATTCTGTGCCTTATGACCACATAGCTTAGAGAAAAGTATGTTGGAATCTGCCAGCCTTGAAAGGACGGAAGTTTATTGAGCACCTGCTGCCCACCGGGAACGCTGTACCCATTTCACAGGTGTAGAAACTGAGGTTTAGAATGGCGAGGAGCCTTGCTTAAGATCACAGAAGTTTGAAGCCAAGTGTGCATCTTTCCACTCTCCCCTGCTGTCGTCAGAGTTAGGAAGTGGAGGGGGGTGTATGGCAGCAAGGCACCCAAATGACCCAGAGAAGTAAGGAGAAGCCACAGAAAGGAACATTTGAAGGGAAAGAATGTTCTACGTGGAGGGACCGTGCCTCACTCATGGGGATCTATGGAAGGGAAAATGCAAACACCAGATGCCAAAGGCCAGTTTCTGTCCTAGCCCCTCCCGAGACTCGATAGATCATCCAACCATCGTTGGTCCTACTTGGCCCAGGGAGTGTAGCCTCCCAGCCTGCCTGCCCACCTCCCTGGGCTCTAGGACAAAACAAGCTGGAGGATTATGGTCAGAAGTGTGTTCTTGCTCCGCAGGTTCATTCATGAGATAAATAGCACATCTGAATGAAGTATGGACTTCAGTTAATAGTAATGTGGCCATTTCAATTTTCGAGTTATGACAAATGTATCATGGTGGTGTAAGACATTAACCACGGGGGAGACCGAGCGAGGAGTGTAAGGGAACCCTCTGTACCATCTTTGCAACTTTTCCCATACGCTACAAATATTCTGCAATAGAAAGTTTACTTAAATTGTAAAAAACAATATACAAGGCTCTCCATTCCACAGCCATAAGCTAATTGATAAATCGAACTGTGTAAGTGAATAGAAAGAATGGTTATACTCATGAGTCACTCATGAATAGAGAGTGATTCATTCAAAATAACCATGGAATATTGTGTGGGATTTAAAAGGAAATGGTAGATTTATTACTACTGATACGAAAATCTCTTTATCATTGATTGAGGAAAACAACTTGATTGTACTTAATATCCAATATGATAATATTTATGAAAAATAGGACATCAAAAACAAATACTGCATATAAAACCAGCAACACACCTCAAACAGATCAAACTGTTTATGCCTGGAGATTGGTCTAGTAAAGGGGTAATGAAGGGGAACTTTTACTTATTCTTTTAAATATGTTAGAATAAAATGTGTTTCCTTGAGACCTGTGAATTTTTTCAGTGAAAAGGAATTAAAAAGATAAGTCAAGCGCATCTGGGTGGCTCAGTCGGTTAGGCATCTGCCTTTGGCTCGCGTCTTGATCCTGGAGTCCTGGGGTAGAGCCCCGCATCATCGCGCTCCCTGCTCAGCTGGGAGTCTGCTTCTCCCTCTGCCCCTCCCCCTGCTCATGCGCTCTCACTCTCTCTCAAATAAATAAATAAAATCGTAAAGAAAAAAAAAAAGATTTGTCAACATATCCACAAAAGAAAGAAAGAAAGAAATGAAAAGAAAAGAGAGGAAAGCACCCTGGGCAGGGCAGGGCAGGGCAGGGAGGGGACGGACCCACGTTGGCAGCCTGCAGCCCCCTCTGCCCCTCCCTTGGGGCAGGTTCTGCACTGCAGAGTTGAGCTTTTCCCAGGCTGCATTGTTCCTAGAGCAAAGCCTAGCGGTGAAGCCGAAGCCGTTCTGGTCAGGGGAAGCAGGCCAGGTGGAGGATCAGGCTGCAGCAGGGGTGGGTGTGGGTGGGTGTGGTGACCTGGTGCTCTCTGAGGGGAAGGGAGGAGGTCCTGAGCCAGGAGGGGAATTTCCTTGTTGCCTCGCCTTCCAGGGGTACTTGGTACAGCGAGTTGGGACTCACAGGCTGGACTCGTGGGGGCCAGGAGGTGACTTCCTGTAGGGGCGCCAGGCACTGGCCAGGACGTTCACAGACACGGTGGCTGCAAAGGCCTCCCTGGGGTCCCTCCCTTAGGAGAGGGGCCTCAGGCTGTCCTCACCCAGGTCTGCAGACCCCTGACCCGTCCGCTCTATCCCTCTTTACTGCAGGATGAAGATGAGACGCTACAAGCTCTTTCTCATGTTCTGTATGGCCGGCCTGTGCCTCATCTCCTTCCTGCACTTCTTTAAGACCCTGTCCTATGTCACCTTCCCTCGAGAACTGGCCTTCCTCAGCCCGAACCTCGTGTCCAGCTTCTTCTGGAACAATGCGCCCGTCACGCCCCAGGCCAGCCCGGAGCCGGGCAGCCCCGACCTGCTGCGAACGCCGCTCTATTCCCACTCGCCCCTGCTCCAGCCGCTGTCACCAAGCAAGGCCACCGAAGAGCTCCACCGGATGGACTTCGTGCTCCCCGAGGACACCACCGAGTATTTCGTCCGCACCAAGGCGGGAGGCGTCTGCTTCAAACCAGGCACCAAGATGCTGGAGAAGCCCCTCTCGGGGCGGCCCGAGGAGAAGGCCGAGGGGGCCG